AAGTAACTCACTTTATATTTACTATACTATTATAGTATACATGTTACATTTGAGTACTATACATTTATTAAGTTTATAACCTCTCAAACAGAGTTTATATTTGTTATAAACATTAATAGAACTTTAGTACACATTATAAGTGTAGAAAATGCTTTTATATTATATTATATAGTAGACACAAGTCTTTTTCTTCAAGTAAAATACTATAATAAAGTATTTACTCTCAATATATTTTTGTTAAAATATATTTACTCAATATTTAAAGCTATCATAATACATATACTGTGTTATATTCATTAATAATACTTTTAGAACCTTTATAAGATGTATAAGAATTATCTTTACTTTATAACCTTATTAAAATTCTTACAGTTACTATATAATTTATAAATAATGTGTATTCTACTATATAAGAACTATAAAGCTATATAAGAAAATGGACTTTTCCCTGACACAGTTCTGAACTAGAACAGTAGTTCTGAATCTGTAACAGACTTTACAGAACAGATGTATAAGACTAGGGAGGACACACAAGCTCTTTTGGAGAAGGTAGTACAGGTCATAAAGTAGAACTATGATTAGAAGAGGTCTGTAGTCAAGGATTACTAGTCTAGTGACAAAGTTATACTAGAAGCTATTAATCTGACCTTAGATTGCCTAATGAAGAAGTTGGACAACAAGTGCTTCAGACCCTTCATTATTGAAAAGAAGGTTAGTACCTCTACCTACAAACTCCAACTTCCAGCAACATAGAAGCACATACACCCAGTGTTCAACAAGGTTCTGTTGTCTTAGTACTATGATTCTAGTTTTCCTTTACAATAAAGACCCTTACTACCTTTACCAGAACTTATTGGCTCTAAACCAGAATACAAAGTAGAGTACATAGTAGATACTAAGCTACTATACAGAAAACTCAAATTCCTTGTTTACTAGAAAGGGTACCTAGTTAAGGAGTACACTTAGGAACCTACTGAGAACCTTGCCCATACTCCTAAGACAATCTAAGATTTCTATCAGCTTCATCCTAGTGCTCTGTACAAACTCAGCCTTACAGATTTCCAAGCTCTACTGTTCCAATCTATGTTTGAGCTACTAACTAAGCCTAATGTTTACCAATTAGGACAATTGGTTTTAGAGGGGGGGTGATGTTACAGTTCTCTACTCTTGTACTTTCAGTTCTAAGGGTTCTACACTCTTCTGTATTAGAACTTAGGACTTCTGTCCCTTAGGAGTGTTGTCTATAGATTATATGTGTGTTAACTCTTACTACTACCCTTCCTTACTTCATCATTCCATTCCTTTGACCACCCCTTCATTCTTTGTTCATTCTATAGTCTCTTACCCTTTGTCCATCCCTTCATTCTTTGTACCTTTATCTTTGACCTTCCTTTCTTTCATTCTTTGTAGCTTATCATTCTTAGTGACTCATGCTCCCTGAGTGCTCTTGTGTAGTTTAGTATATATAGGTGTACAAGATCAGACTAGTCCTGTAGTCTTGATCTTGTCTACTCTAGGTAGTCCTGTACTCTTAGACTCACTCTATATACTCTACTCTTGTCTCACTCTCTCTCTCTGCCTGTTCTACAAGTTCTGACTATGTTCTAGTGCTTACATTCTGTATTTCTGTTGTGTAGGATAGTTGTAGCCTGGGTCCCCTTGCTGAGCCTTCAGGTCCCCTCTACACTGTCACTGACAGCCTTCTCTTACAAAATCTCCAGCTCCTCTTCTTCATGTCCTCTTGCCTTGTCCAGCTTCACTTGCTCCAGCACTGTATTGGTCATCTTCAACCATGCTCTAAGTGTCTCTGCCTGGCCATATGTTTAAGAAACACGAAAGCCTCTATCAGAACCAATACACTGGATAAAATGTCAACGTACTAACCTGCCACAATTTCGGCTTAGTAGCAATTACTTCCTGTAGTCCCTTAGCAAATCAAGAGGACATTTGAGACTCTCCAATACAAGAATTCTAGAGTTCACAAGAACTGTGTCGTTATCCTTATTGTGTATTTACTGCTTTTGCACAGTCATCAGCAATGTGCTTCATGACTGATTATGCTTGACTTGAACAATACCTCTATACCCGGCTGCAAGTTTCCAAGGTGATCCTGCTTGGACTAGTAGGTACCTTATTCAGGTTCATTCCTCCATAGTACAGTAGACAATCTGTGATGAGGATGGGTAAAAATGATAAGTGGAATGGTTTGTCGTCAAAAAACATGCTGTGAGTATGACTCAAAATTAGAAGCACGTGATGTCATTTTATTCCAAGCAAGCAAATGGTAACGAAATGAACTAGTTACAGTATATCTCGTGTAAATACAGTAAGGAAAAGGTATGAAGACATGCAAATGAAAAACTCTGGTACGACTACGGAGTAAAACGACACTTTGCAAATAATCAATCAATATGAATGCGCTAAGAATATACAGTACAATGGAATCAATTTCATTATATCCGGAAATATGAGAAGAGATGATAAGGCCACCAGAAAGCGGAAGCTGAACTTTGCCACGTGTTATCCAGGATCCTACATTAATCTCTGCTGGCTGGAAATGAGTTACCCCCAGCACTACAACTTTTCTACAAATTCATTCGTGTGTTTAGGCTAAACCGGTGGGCGTATATCCAACAGAAGGTATGACATATCATACACGGGTATAGTGACTAACCTGCTAAACTCGCACTCCTAGCTTGGGCATCCTCCAGCTGACATGCGGTACCATACCTCGGAGTCGTGCCAACTGGTTCGAACTGATCATCGGACAGTCATCAAGGCTCAAAGAAAGTATAGGTAGTGGCTGGTCGACATGTCCATCCGATGACGTTACGTTTGCAGCACGGGAAAGATGTGCTTCTACGAGTCGAATTACAGGGCCTGCTTTCAGAGTGCGATACCCAGATAAATCAAGGTGCTGCAATTTCGGGCACATCGATCCTTCCGCAAGGGCTTCAACCACCGTATTTTCTCCCCCATATTGGAAGAAGCATCGCGGGATCTCCAGAGTCTTCAGAGCGGTCGCTCGTTGGAGAATGGATATTAGCGAGGGCGTGTGGTAGTGGATGAACGTCGAAAGGGTCAGATGCTCGAGATGTGTCAGCTCTTGTTCGTCTATCAACACGGGAGTGCCAACACCGATATAGTTTGTCACGACAAGTGTTTTCAGGTTCGGAAAGCGGATCCGTTTGAGACAAATATGCGTATGAACTGATTTTACCAACTCCAGCCGTATGAGGTTGCCTAATTCAAGGTCCTCGACACCCTCGCTGTGATAAGGGGCGGCCGTAGAGGGTGACTCAAGAATCAAATTCTCGAGCATAGGGTTCTGCTTCAGAAGTAGGAAAAGACCTCCATCTGAATGAGATGCAGATAATATGAGTGTTGTCAAAGAGGTGAAGGTGAAGCCCGTTATTTGTATCACTTCGCACGTAGTTTTCAGAGTAAAGTGACGTATTCGTGAGCTATCCATCTTTGTGAGAGCTTTCAGGGATTCGATGCTTAACTTTTCCGAATAAACCTCAAGTTTTCGTAAGCGTAGCTTATTGGCCGCTGTCAAAGGGAGGGCCGAAAATATATCTTCGCTCGGGGTAGTAATCGCCAGCGTATCAAGGCTTGACCAAATAGTGGAAGCCGCATTCCTGAAAAAACGCGATTGGTAACCGCGAGACAACACTCCAACAATGTGGAGGTCCGTCAAAGTGCCCTTTGAGCGTCCCAACCAAGTATCCGCCTTCTTTAATTCCGTTCTTGGAGTGATTGTCAGGTTTTGCCAAAAGCGAGAAGTGCCAACGATAAGGTCTCGCCATGACCGACAAACGTGAGTTAGTGCAAGTGTCTTTGCGTTGCTGCAGTCGATGACGACAGAGAACATCTCCTTCTGTAACTCCACTGGAAGTCTCGAAAAATAACACGGCACAGATTGCAGCGCTTTTACCGCCTTCTCTCGCAAAATTTGTAACTCCTCTTCTTCATGATCTCTTGCATTGTCTGGCTTCACTTGCTCCGGCACGATATTTGTCATCTTCAACGACGCTCTAAGTGCGTCTGTCTGGTCATATGTTCAGGGAACACGGGGGGCCTCTATCAGAGCCAATCCTCCGAGTAAAGTGCAGACGTACTAACCCTGTAACGACTTCAGCTTAGAGGCGATGGCTGCTTAATAGTGCTTCAGTGCTTCAAGTGTGTGTTCGAGTCTCTCCACTACAGAGGCACTAGGGTGCAGAAGATTGTGTTCTTATCCCTTTTGCGTATTGCCTTTATTCGATCGTCAGCGCTAAGCTTCATGACTTCTATCATGCTTGACTTAGACGATGGCACCATACCTAGTTGAGATATTCTGAAGTCTTTTCGGGTTGACTCTTAATGGCAGGGCAACTAAGCTGTAGCGATGTTGGACAACAAATAGTAAGTGTTTAGTGGCATGGTTTGTCGTCAACGCATGCAGCAGCAGTGCGACTACAGAGGCACGTGATGTAGTTTTATATTGTTATTTCATATATTTATAATTATAAAGTACGGGAACTTTTACTTCTCAGTCAGTATTAACAATGAAAATTTAAGCAATACTTGGATACACAACTGCTTTTTATGATTTATATATTGTAGATGAAATCAATACTGCCACTACTACAGCTGGGCCTGCTGAGATAAATCCGTACACTGTAAAGTCGGACATGCATTTCCTGCAGCCAGCGCTTCAACTACTACATCTTCATACCTTGACGTGAAACGACGGCGAGAAAGATTGAGAAATGCAGATCAACATATATTGGCGGCCTCTGACAGTGTCAAAGGGGAAGTAGATAACCAATTATTACAACATAAAGGTGTAGGCGAGTGGGTCCGACAGGGATGCAACGAATATACAAGTCAATACAATGGGGTTTTAACAATTGGGTACCTGCATAAGAGTAACAGCGAAAATGCAATCACTTCATCCCCCTCCCCATTTTCACTGGGGTCATCCTGCAACTGAAGTTCGGTATTACAGCCCGGAACCATGGTAATGCGTTTGAATCAATCATCGGGCAATCGTCGAGATTTAATGAAAGGACGGGTAATGGAACATTTACTTGTTGTTCGTCCGACAATGACTGTGACTCGTTGGACGAGGAACACGACGACGATGATGATGACACCACGGCTGCAGAACGAGAATGCGCTTTTACAAGTTTAATAACTGGGCCCGCTTTCAAAGCGGCAAGCCGCGATAAATCAACATGCTGGAGTTTTGGGCACACCGTTCCTTCCGTCAGAGCTTCGATTAGCGTGTTCTCTTCTCCGGCTTCGAAGCAGCATCGTGTGAGCTGCAGGGTCTTTAACGGCGTTGCCCTTCGGAGAATTGAGACTAAAGAGTGTGTGTCCTGAACAATCATTGAAAGAGTGAGGTGCTCGAGGACTGTCAACCGCTGATTATCGATTAATGCAGGAACACCGATACCAAATCCGAGAGTTTCCTTTACAATAAGCGTCCTGACGTTCGGAAATCGCATATTTTGGAGACATCTATGCGTGTGTAATGAGTTTATCAATTCTAGTCGGACGAGGCGGTGAAGCTCTATATCCTCTAGGGTCCCACTGAATCGGCGGGCAACTGAGGGCGACTCAAGGACCAGATTCTCAAGCATGGGATTACTCTTCAGAAATAGGAAAAGATCCACATCTGAGTGAGGTGAGGACAATGCGAGTGTCGTCAGAGAGGTGGAAGTGAAGTCTGCTATCCGTACCCGCGTGCATGTGGTCTTCAGGGAAAAGTGATGCATTCGAGAACCATTTATCTCAGAGAGAGCTTGCAAGGAATGATCGTCCAGTTCTTCGGAGTCAACTTCAAATTGTAGTAGTCGTAGTTTATCGAGTGCTGACGCAGGGAGTGCTGCAAATAAATCGGCGCTCCGAGTAGTGATTTTCAGCCTATCAAGCTTCGACCAAATACTGCAGTCAGCATATTTGAAAATACGAGATCGGTCATCGAAAGATAACTCTCCAGCAATGTGGAGGTTCGTCAAAATGCCTCTGGATCGCTGCAACCACGTATCCGCCTTCTTCACCCTCGTTTTATGAGTAATGGTAAGGCTACGCCAAAACCGCGGAGTATTGATGATTATATCTCGCCATGACCGACACACGAGAGTGAGCCTGAGCATTTTGGCGTTGCTGCCATCAATCACGAGTGAGAATATCTCCGTCTGTAGTTCCACAGGAAGTCCCGAGAAATAGCACGCCGGAGATTCAAGTGCCTTTGCCACTTGCTTTCGAAAGTCCTCTAACTCTGCGCGTCTATTCGTATCCTTGATACGCTCCAACGCGAGTTCGGTCATCTTCAATGACGCCTCGGGCTTGCCAACCTTTAGAAATAGCCTGGCAGAACGTGCATATCCCTATACGATAACAATCGAAAAAATATCGGAAAGGCATGTTTGCGAACTAACCTGCCATGATGTTGGTTTAAGGTCAATAACTTTCTTGGAGTCCTTCAGTGCTTCAAGAGGACGGTCGAGCTTTTCAAGAACAGCCGCTCTAGAATCTAGAAGAGTTGCGTCTTTATCATTTTCACGTGCTGCCTGTATTCAGTTATCAGGTCTCGATCTCACACCTGACAGTGGATAAGGATGGTTTGGACGATGTCAGTGTCACCATACCTGGTTGAAAGCTTCTAAGGCGTCTTTGTACCGATCCTGCTTAAACAGGACGACGCCTCGCCTAAAATTCTCCTTCCATGACATGACTTGAAGAGCTGTTACGATGCACGGTTTGGAGAAAGGTCTGGAGTACTAGTGTACAGAGTGGAAGCCAGAAGACCTGGTGAAGTTTGAACGCGACACGTCTGGGCGCATCGCGAGGAGACAAGACGCGTTTGTGCACGTGCTCTTACTCACGTGGGCGGTCACCCGTTTGAGTTCATCAGATTGACTGCTTTGGTGGTGATAGACTTGCAATTTGACAAGACGACCGCCACGAAAAGGGAACCTCAGTATTCTCTTGTACCCGAACTCTGGACTGTTGATGATACTTTTGTCTTCATCAATGACTGGCTTTGCTCAGATGCTTCATTACAAGTTTATTGTTTTTAATTTCGTGTTCTGATTGGTCTGGCTCGGTACCAGTGACAGCGAATTGACGAAAAGGCAAAGGTTCCGACGACTGCAAATTCAATCACATGCGGGGCCTTTGTAATAACAGCAATATCATTATATCATATCAATCACACGTTGCGGCACCCGTTAACTCCGTTCCTCATTTCTATACCTCACGAATGGAAATAATGCAGGTCATTGTGGAAGCGTAAATATTTTCAATATAAATAATGGACATAAAGCAATATAAGTGAGGATGCAACCGAACTTGAATTCGGATGCACCGGAACAATTCTTTGCAGCGGGGAAGAATAATACTGTTAGCTCGTTACACTGTCATTCTGTATTCCTATTCATACTTCAACATTCCTTTGTCCAGTCACAGTAGCTAAACAGGGATATATCTCTTACTTATACAAGTTTAAAGTACAGCGTACTTAGAGTGACAACATTTCCGTTCGATATGTGTGAATATGCGAAAGCGAGATAGCGTAAACCAAAGCATAATATCAACTGATTCCACGAACGATAAATCCGAAGTCCCGCAAGACCAAGCGAACGTCAGCTAGGCATTACTCGTCTTTATCGCTGGTAAGCCACAGTCTCTCCTTCTTCTTGTGCTATAAAACCATCAAGATAACTTCCGGAATACTCTTCGTCAATTCTTGCGCCTGTAACACGAGAATTCAATACATAATAGCAGAAGCAAGGAGGGCTGGTAATGTAATGTTAAGAGCAAGACTGTAACGATTGTGCTACCTGTGCATTTGCACAACATGTGTTGTAGGTGCTTGTGAGTGTTTTCCTTTTTGTTCACTAGACTACCCTGTATCCTACTACATGTGTATATACATATATAAAGGGTTTTCAAGCTAAGGGTTAGGGGATTCTTTCTCCTTCTTAGTGCTTGATTACTAGGTTATCCCAGTCAGTAGTTGAGTGTGCTGGTAAAGAGAGAATCTTTGTGTAAGGCTAGTATACCTATCCTTACACATTTTTGACTGAACCCACCTTTCCATAAACCTGCTAGGCTTTGACAACCAGAACTGAGGGCTTGATCACCCTAATACATTCCTTACATTGTCCAGTACTCCTTTGAATTCAAAGAAATCAGTGAGTAGTTCACAAATCTAAATTAGAGACACATATACTCTTACTATAACTACTAGGATACTCAGAACACTTGAGGGATGTGAATGGATTGTTCCCCTCAATGTGGAGAGACCTCCTTATTAATATTGTAAGAGGCAAGCATCATTCAGAAGTACTGAAGAGTAGCTTTCCCCAAATGCAGAAAGATTCAAAACAGTGTGTACTACAGATTTCAAGTTAACAGAACATACAGACAATGGACAACAAGATTATCCATTGAGTACTGAACACAATGTAGCTACCAAGCCTTAGCAGACAATCCTAGAAGGGCTCCCAAGTCTGGAAGTTACTATTAACATGCTAGAGAATAAGTCATTATCTATTATAAGCTAGAGGCAATCTGATGACCCTTTACTAGGTGATAAGTCCTTGTCTACACAAGGCTAGAGGTACCCTAATGAACTATTACATACAAGTAATGTAGAACAAAGGCATGTACCTGTACTAGTACATATTGTTAGACTAATGTGTACTATAGAGTAGACACTAGTGAGTGCTTACCTTACTAGACTCACAGAAATAGATAATAGTAGTATAGAGAGTGTAAACACTCAGGAAACTGGTATTAAGAATTCTGTTAGTAAGAACAAGAGTATTAGTAAAGGAACAACACTTTCCTTACAGTAGGAAATGTTCCAGAAGGCTAGAAAGACATTCAGAAATGTCTCTAAGCTAGAAACACTGAAAGCCATGAGTAGACTAGCTAGTCTATTCAATCAAGGAATTGACATTGAGGAATTGAACAAGAGAACTTATAAGTATGATAGTATGTATTAGGAACATGAAGGAAACATTAATTTGAATACAATCAATCTATCTAAACTAACTAGAGACAAGTTAGCTAAATGGATGTATTAGAAAGTATGTTGTTAACACTTAGAAGCTACTAAAGTAATGTCTAAACAATTGAAAGATACTCTACAGTTTGAAAGCACACATTCTTAGAAGAAAGATCTAAGTAAACCTGTACCTAGTAATAAGAAAAATGTAAGAGCAAATAAAGGAAAAGCTCTAGACATTTGTAATTACAGTCAGGTAGAATTAGACAGTTTTAGCAAAGCAGATTCTGATGTACAAAGAATGTATTTTCAGGAGATAGAGTACAGACAAAATGCAGAATCAGGACAATAGAATTTTAGAAATGAAAGCTATAGTAAGGCTCTTAGAACTCCTCAGGAATTACCAGTTTGTTTCAAGTAAGAAACATATTACTCTAAGATAGAAAATCAGTGTAAAGATATGACACTCTAGCAGGGCAAGGAGATGTATTGCAGAATAAAATACTTACATATATACACTACTATACTAATGTTTAAGAATTGCTACATACACTCAGTACAAAACACAATATTAAAATGAACAGACTGAACCTAGATGTGAAACTTATGGTTCCAGATGCCTCTGATGACAGTGAAGACGAATCAGAAACTGTAAAAGGCAAAGAGAGTAAGGAAAAGAATTTCCACCACAGTTCTGTACCCTCTATCAAGTGTAATACAGATAGGAATAGTAAAGGCTACAAAAAAAGAACCACACAAGATACAGCTGAGCTACAAAGCTCAAATACACTGTAGACAAATAGATTTACATTAGTGAGACCCTCAGACAACCTTACAAGAAAGAGTTATGTGAATTGTGTAATACAGAGAGTAGAAATTGTAAAAAGACAGGATTCTAACTTGGATCCAAGCAATAGCTCTTTGGATTCTTTGGATTCAAGTAGATACTCAAGTTCTAACAATAGTAATGATAGTGATACATTATTCAAACCTACAGACATTGATTCAAGCAACTCTAAAGGTACTAAGAAGTGTAAAAAGCTTACTAAGAGAAAATGGAACAAGGAACTTCTAAAATTGAAGATACAGATGTAGAGTACAAAACCTATCATTCCTACAGTTTATTCAAGTGAACCTAACCTTCAAAGATACACTAAGTTTGTTATGGAAGTCAATCAGTACATGAAACAATCAGGTTTACATTATTTCCCTAAAGAACAAGTAGGAGTACTACCTAATTTCATTAAAGGACAAGCTATAAACTTTTATTTACAGAAAATAGGTATGAACAAATCTTGATAGACCTTATTACAATTCTTTAAAAGTCTAATAGACTTTTGTTTCCTATCTAACTTTGTAGAAATGCTTAGGAAAGAGTTTAATACAATGAAACAAGGACACAGAGTCATACAGGAATATTTGTACAATCTAGAAATGAAAGCAATCAATCTAGGCAATATTTCTGATAAAGATTTAACTAGGAGAGTATGGGATAGACTTTATCCTAAGTATTAAAGGCAATTATGATTGGATTGTTTGAATCCAGACACAGTTTCATATGAAGAATTTAAAGACAGGCTTGAGAACATTAAAAAAGCAAATAAAGCTGTTAGAATTAAATAGTATACAGATACTAGAGATTGATTCTATCCTCAGAGTAACAAAGAAGACTATCAAAAAGATAGATGGAAGAAGAACAACTAGAGGAACTATAGGAATGACAATAAGAATTGACTAAAGGACAGGAATTATGATTATAATTGTAATAATTGTAACAGACAGTACATACAGTCTAACAGTGTAAGTCTAAAAGAGAAAGACTGATCTAAGGACTACAAACTGAAGTACAAGGATACTAGGCAGAATAAGTAAGAGAATAGTAAGAAAACTTATTCTACAGGTGTAAAAAGGTATTCACAAGCTGAACTAGACAATATGAGAGCTAAAGGACAATGTTTTATCTGTAAACAGACTATACATTTAGTTAAAAATTGTCCTACACACAGTACAGTAAAGCTGAACAGTGTTTCTAATACAAATACATTGTCTAAGAGTATTAATATTAATTATTCTGCTCTAGATAAGTTAACTAATACTTTGGAAGACAATAATTACTTAGATTTGGATCTTATAGTAGACAATACAATGGATCCATCATTTTCTATGTTACAAATACAATCTATAGCTATTCAGATACATTATCCAGACAACAGTTATGAATCAACAACTCAGAAGGATGAGAATTACAATTTATTAGCTGGTTACAATACTATTTTACAAGTATTTAGTTTAGAACAATTGGATTTGAAGCTACAAACCTTTTCTGACACTTTAGAAGTAAAGATTCCCCTTGTAAATGCTGAACTTAGAAAGAGAAATTAGAGGAGAATGAGATCAATCTACAGAAATAGTAATTTCTACAGTGAATACAATAATACAGTATGTTTTAGAATTACTAAATGTCTTATGGAAGGAATTCTGTACTGTTTTGACTGGAAATACAATAGAAGACTTTAGAATAAGTATCTACACAATTGATTCTATGTTTTCAGAAGTACAGATACATAGTTTACAATTATTGACAATTGGGAGAACAGAAATGAGTACACATTACCTGTTAAGATTGCTTTTCTGAACAGATTTAATGTTAGAGAATAGTATTCTCTACTCAGACAAGCTCAATATTTAGCCAAATATGTTTACAATCATTAGGAACTA